ATTGGGATTTGAACATCGTAGGTCTGATACCTTCCTTGTTCAGCTTCAAATGCTTATCCAAACAAGCAGGAAGGAAGCAAAGGCCATAGCTGGGAAGCGCTGCCCTCAGCTCCTCCAACACCACTGCTGCTTTGCACCAACATCACACATTTGCAGTCAGCTTTTTCTTCCTGGGGGATAGAGCAGAAATGCAGACACGGCCAGAAAGGCTGGGTGCAGGGTATGCCTCTGTCACCCACTTGAACCTAGATGCGTACCTGGAGCCGTAGCGGCTTAGAGCCATCTCTCAATGTCACCAGGAGACGTTCCCTTACCAGACCCTCTGGTTCAGTTTAGACAGGTATTAGGAAATGGTCTTTTTCTTAGTTAAAAGTAAAATATGGAGCTGAACATTGGCAAGCAAAGTGAAATTCTCTAGCCAACTTGTTTGCCTCCTCTGTGTGATCTGAGTGCCATCTTCCTGCTGCCTCCATGCTGTAGCTCCCGATCGAGCTGTCCGTCTCCTGCTCAGAGTTGCCAGCGCCGGGAAGCTCCCTGTATGACACCAGGAAAGAAGCAGCTCCAAAGTGTTCTGCTTCAGGCTGACACCCACCCCCTCTTGTGCCCCAGAGCCCCAGTTTTTCCACAAAGCATCTGGTTCTCTCTTGGGAGGGAATGCCAGCATCCTCCTCGCTCGGGTGGCCAGCCAACACCCTCTCCCGTGTTCTTGCTTCTAATCGGGAGATTTCAGAACCAGGAACGGAGCCCCACAGAACCCACCATCCTTTTCTAGCAGCCCCATTTTCAGCTGCAGCTTCCAAAGGGGCCAAGGAAAGCCAGGGAGCCCCTTACTCTAAAGCAGAGCACCCTCGGGGGCGTAATGATAATGGCTCCATGGGTTCAGTAAGATGGCGCTGAGGACTTGCGTTTCACTCTCTGGTGGTCACTGGGGTCACTTAGGGGGCCCTCCTGTTTGGCCTCCGCAGCAGAGGCCACCTCTCCCCCACCCAAGGCCCTTCCCACAGGCCTGCACAGGAGGGCAGCTCTTCCTGACTGGATGCTTCACCGTCAGCGACCCGAACTTGTGGCTGGCAAAAATATGGCCTTTAATATTAATAGGCTTTGCATGTTAAGTATTTCTCAAGGACGTACAAGGCTCTACGATGGGTGCTGTCTGAAGGAAAAGGACCAACAATGTCTGGCAGCTTTGCCCATCCTATCCTGGGCAAGGCTCCCTGGAGAAAGCGGGCAGGGGGCTCTTCACCCCAAAGGGTTGATTTGGCCAAGTTAGTGGCTGACTGGGTAAGGGTGTGGGTGGGAAGTCTCTGGGGTGGTGCTCTCTCTGCCCCCTCCCCCGGTTGACTTGGCAGGAAATTGGGAGGCTGGCATGAAAGGGGCTGCCCCTGCCCTCTCCCTGCCTCCCCTCTTCCAGGCGCCCGCAGTCCTGGCTCCTCTGCAGCCCCCGACTCCGAAAAGACGTGGCACCCCCAAGCTGCCCTTGGGCAGGGTCAGAAGAGGAGGGAAAGGGCTACCCGAAGAGCAGCCCAGCTATGGACAGCTTGCTCCTTGTCTGGCATCGGGAAGATGGCAATGCAGCAGAGACCCAGTGGGAAGAAGAGGTGGCCAGGGCAGTTTGTGCCGATGCAAAAGAGAAAAAGCCTGCGGTCGATTTCCCGGTCCCTTTTGGGCTGCTGATCTGAATGCAAGTGCAACCGCAGCGGCTCGACGCCAGCTTGCTGCTCTTGCCCAAGGTGACCCGGGCGCATTTCCTAAAGCAGGCAGGGAGGGGTAGAGCCCAGCTCCAGCATCAATGGTTCTTGGGGGAGGGGATGATTGAGCAGGGCAGGATTCAGGCCGGGCTGCTCCTTGGTCAGAGGGAGGGGCAGGAGCATCTCTGCGAGGCCTCAAACCCAAAGGGACGTTTGCAACCGCCCTTGCTCCTCCAGCCGATTCCCACCCCTTTCCTCTGAGCTGCTGCTGAGTTTGGCAAGGCCTGGGGGGGGCAGGGGGGGGCTCTGATTCGAGATACTTTCCCAGCGTGGCCTGAGGAGGCCTTTCTGCTGAGCGGTGGCTTACGCCTTCCCGGTGACATGGGCCTTAGAAAGTGCTAAGGCTCTTGATCCAAAAAACTCTTGGTACGAAATGATGCAGCCTCTCAGAGGGCTCCCCTGAGTTCTTTCAGCTGCTAAAGGCAAACCCACGGCACCGGTATGCTGCTCCCGGGAGTGGGGAGGAGCCGTGTCAACCGCTGACAGTCCACGCGTGGCACCTGCCGTGTCCCTGCCACTCCAGCTGTTGAGATCTTATTTAGCAGCAACTGCCCCCAAGCCCAGAGAGGCGTGACATAGTGGGGGGTCCCAGTTCAGATCCAAGGCCCGCTGGGTCCCTGAAGTTCATCCCTCCTTTGAACGCTTGTGGGGAAGAGAGAGAAGACATTTCCTGCTTTCTACTTCTGGGCGTGAAGGGTGGCGAGGACAGAGCATGGATTCCTGCCCCTCCCCTCCCCTCCCCACCCCCCGCCTCGGCCCTCACACGCAGAAAAGCGGTGGTGATGCTGCTTCGGGCACTGTTGGATGAACCCCATTTCAGCCTGGGTTTGGACACAGAAGACCCTCGGTTGCCCCCAAGACATCTGATTCCACACGCTCTGAACAATCTGGATGAAGCTGGTGGTCGAGGACACTAGACAATCTGGAGGAGGTGGCAGCTGATGACACACAGCGCTGTTGTTCTGTCACGATTCATGTGAAGACGCCTGGGCTCAGCCGGGGCTGGACGAGCGCCAGCGAACAGAAGGTGCATCCTGGCAGGGAGAACTGGGGAGGGCAGGTAATTCCTAGGAAGATGGTGGGAGGCTTCCTCTGGGCTGGGTTGGGCACCTCTCGATGGTGCAGGTGTGCAGTTTGGGGGCTGCTTTTGCTTCCAGCATGTCTACTTCATCATTCTGATATCGTTTGCTGGAGGAAGGTGCATTTTACATTTTTTTAAAAATAAAATATTAACATATAGAATGAATATATGGCTATCAGGTAGACATTGTAGGAGGAGAGTCGTGTTACTGTCCGGTAGCCAAAACTCAGGAGGAGTCTGGTAGCTCCTTTGCAGACTAATATGCTTTATTAAAAGGCAGAAGCTTTCGTAGCTCACGAAAGCTTCTGCCTTGTCATTGACTTTCTTAGTCCTGATTCCTCCTGACTGATGCCTATCAAAGGAAAACTGAGCTTCTCGTAAAATGCTGGATAAAATTCCGTATGGGATTCAACTCAGGATACACACACTCCTTATTCATAATTTGCTTGTAGTGTGTAGTAGAAAGGAGTGTATTTCCTCAGAAAAGCCAAATGGGATTTACTCATTTGCTTCCAGCCTAAAACATCTGTTTGGGGCGAATCAACAAACCAACCACCCGAAACTCAGCTCCAGGCGTCTTTGGCTTCTTCACCCAGGCGCCCACTCCATTGTCTTCCTGGTCGGGGGCCGGGGGGGCAGATGAAGAGGACGCACCGAGCAGGGAAGCTCTCTGCCTTGTCTACAGAAAGGGTCGCTTAGGTTAGAAAAAGGAGACCATGATGCTGTGAGGCGTCCATGTCCTGTCAGATTTGAGCTGTCCTTTGTATTGGCTAAAAGAGGATTGCAAGAACGGTGTGATGGGCCTCCCCGCCACCGAAAATTAGCTCTTCAAAGACGCCATGTTGCCTCCATCACGGTTTCCCTCAGAGAAGATCAGTCATTGACGCCCAGGACTTCTGCGTTCACAGGAATCAGAGGGGAGCATTTAGAATGTCACCCATACTAAGGAAAGCGGTTCTAACTAGAGATGAGACTCCATGGCTGATCTCCTACAAGGCGGCGAGGAAACAAGGAGGGATAAGCCTCGCTTCACTTTGCTTCACTTGCAGCTTCCAAATCATTGCAGGCCACTAAACACACAGCAGATATGCAGAAAAATATGTGCCTTTTTTTTGGTCTCTTTCCCCAGTTCAGTGTGCCTTTGCGTACTTCAACAAATTTGCATTTTTGCGCACATCTTAGTACAAAGTGTACTTTTTGTCTTCTCACTTCAGGAAAGTATGGATTTCAGTGCACAGGTGCATTTGATTTCCCTTCTAAAAATTTAAAGGTGTGAACTGGGCAATTCTATTAAAATTCAGATTGAACTAATTTCCCTTCTATCCTTTCCTGCTTCTGAGAAGACTCAGAGAGTGAAATGGCAACCCACTTTTTAGTGCAAGTTAGGAGGTTTCAGGGGTTGTCTAGGATCAAAAGAAGGATGCAGATGGAAAAATGCAGAACTAATCCAAACACCCTTTTGGAACCCGCCATTCCTTCATCCTCACCCTCAGAAGGCTGTTACCCAGAATGCTGAGGAACATCGAGGGCAAAAGGCGTCCCTCAGTTGCTCCTCGGCACGAAAGCCCCGCTGCTATTCTTGGCCACTCTCGCCATGGGGTTAGATACAGCCACGGCTGGAGAAAAAAACACCGCCTGCCAATTCCACATCCCCAACGGACTGCAATGGAACTCGCGTTTGTGATCTGGGACCTCTTGAAATGGTCTTCTTCCACTTCTCTTCCCTGACTTCACATGCACTCCCCCTGCCCCATCAAGGCCTTCTTTCCTCACAAAGAGCCACTCAAACACAATGGCTGATTCAATGGTGTTTTATTGGTATACTGGTTTCCCTTTAACATCTCAAGGGCTTCAGATCATCCCATGGCTTAGGCTGTACACTAATGCTAAATCTGAAAAAGCAGATGTGTGGTGAAACATCTACCTAGATACAGAATCATCTTTTCAGATTCTTGAACCAATGGTAACATTAAACGCTTACCCGCCAGTGGCGGTTAATACCAGAACTTTGGCAGGGACGGAGGAGAGGGCGTTCTGCCCCTGACACCTTGACAAAGAGTGTTGAATATGCAAGAAAATACAGAGCCCTTCCAAAGCCCATCAACGTGGCAAAGAGCCAGGTCTCTTCCAACGATGTGGGAGGAATTGGATTCCAGGCTGTTTAATGCATGCACACAATAACAGACAGCCCCACCCCCAGAGCCCTGCCTCTGTCAGGACATCCACAAAGGAAGGAGGGAGGATTGCCCAAGTCTTTCGGAAGCACTCGGCTTCACGTTTCCATGCTTGGATGTTTTCCCAGGTGCTATTTCTGGATTAAGACCACAGTCAAAGGGGGTTTTCATGGTGGCGGAGGGGAGGGAGGGAGGAAGAGCCGTGGGGGCCCAGCACCACTTTCCACCTTCTTGATGGGACCTCCAAGCAGTCACTGACACAATAGTCCCCTGGGTCCTCTTTTCACCAGGCACAAGGCCGAGCCCAACGTTCAGTCTTGGCGAGAGAATGAAAAATGCGGTTCTTCAGGGCCCAAATGCATTCAAACCCAGGCCGAACAACTGGCAGTTTAGGATTTGAAACCAAAACAAAATCCTATTCCAGATCTAGGCTGCCTGTGGACAGGGAGCACAGCTAGGGTTACTTTTTAAAAACAACGTTTCGCCGGTTACACCATCAAAGGGGAGGGTGGGTTGCATCATGCAGTCTCAATGAAATACCTCTGTACATGGCAGCCCCAACGGCCTGATCCAAGGCCAACCAGGGACGGGCTCGGCTCAGACGGGAGTGGTTCGTCTGTTGGCTGGATTGTTATGCAAAGATTCTTTGAACTCTTTGGGGAGGGAGTTGTGAATCTGTAAAAAACCGTGATCTCTCTCTGAGTTCAGCAAAGTCCCAATAGTCACCTTTGAAGGATCCCTGGAAAGGGTGAACATGGAGATATCGGTGGAAGGGATGGTATTAAAGCCTTTGCCAATGGGAGACAGATCCCTTGACCGGGGTTCTGTGGAGCGGGAACTGGATCGCCTTCGAAACCGGTACCGATAGGTAGGGAGGCGGGCAAAGGTGGACTTCTTCAGGAGGGCCACGGAGTGAGACTTGGCTCGGATTTGGCGGTGCTTCTCAATGTACATATGGACAGCAATGACCCCAACCATCTCGGCAATGATGAAGGATAGGGCTCCGAAGTAGAAAGACCACCCGTAGGAATAGCTCTTCTTGGAATCGCTCTGCCCAGGGTCCCCTGCGTTTGCCGAGATGTAAACTATGATCCCGATGATGTTGCTTAGCCCTAAAAAGAAGAAGCAGAGAGCAGGGACAAAATAACTATGCTTGAGTCAGGCATGAAATATGGGTCTCTGGAAGGTGAAAAATGATGCACCCGGGCTCATCATGTGTTGTACCTTTGGCCACAGTGTTTCTGACACTATAGATAAACCACAGACACATTTCTAGTCTCAGTAACTAGGTGTGCAGGGTTTCCTGTGAATTTACAAATTTACATTATGAAAGTAATCTGCTTCACCACTTGGACCTGAGTGGCTGTGTGCAATCATAACTAGCAATGTGTTCAAGCTTGAAACCAGCGTGCATGGTATTTCTGGACACTGGGTGTCCCAAGGCCATGCCTGGATCTATTTAGGATCATCTTCCTTTGTCCAGATTTTCTGAGCAATGGAGGAGAACACACACAGGGCCTCTGTTCTGATGCCAGAACCCATGAGAACTGTATTTCCTGGCCATTTTTGAGACTGGCAGATTGGGACAGGAATGACTGGGTAGCAAGGTGGGAGGGGAGTCAACATATGATAGGTGTGGGCTTGATCTGTCTTGTGCAAACCTCTTAAGGACGGCAATGTATCCCTCATGAAGGAAGTCCATCCATCATGAGCTATGATGAATTTCCATGGAACCAATGGAGCAAGTGAATATCTTTATCCTTTTGCTTTCAGTGTGGCGTTAGCAATGACCTGTGTCAGGATTCAGGTGACAGCAGTGCCTGACATCAAGAGGAACAAGAACAAGCAAAGGTTGAGAAACTCTGCTCCAGGCCAGGGTGGGCCAGCGTCTACTGGATCTGATTTTTAAAAGATTGTATCTGATCTTTCCTTTAAAAGGGCAGCAAAGACTCCTACCTGGAATGGGAGGAGCAATAGGAAGAAAGCAGCAAGATGGATTTTAGTTACGGAGACAAAGCGGTGTTCCATGGATGCGATCTTGAGTTCTTGGGGGTGTGGGGTGTGGAAGGGCACAATTAAAAATGGGACATGCATAGAAGGGCTGCATGAAAATGATGTCATTCTCTGTCTGGCTCTTTCCATAGCATCTGCGCAGATCCATATTTGGCTCTGGGAAATTACCCTTTTATTAGTCTTGCAATTCAAGACTTGAGTTTATTCTTACTTTTGCAGTTCCTTAATCATAGAGCCCAGAAAACTGGCCTCCCCTACAGCTTGATAGGGCTTCCCTTCCACCTACAGATTGTCTAGCTTCGCACAGGGCAATGTCAAAATGTGATTTCTTTAGCTTATTAGATAAACCCCGTCATTTTGTCTGCAGGCTGTTTTTAGGGCTTAGTGCTAAGAACAGCTAACTATGGCTTAGACAATAAACCATGGCTGGAACAAACTATGACTTACTCTAAAGCATGAAACAGTCATTGTGACTTGTTAAAACAAACCATAGCTTATGTGTGATCCTTGTTTTCTCCCTCCTTCTGTATCTTATCTTTGTATTTTTTGTAACCTGCTACAATCCACTTCAATGACATTTATATGGAAAATGTTCCAACATTAATTCATAGTACTTTAATGCTGCCAGTTTATTTAATGGCCCAGCTTCAGGTTGATGTCAAACATGGCGAACTGCTGAGAAGGGGAACTCACCTGCGGAAACAAAGAAGATGCCTGCGCTCAGGATGACATTGAGTTTGTTCTTGTAGAACTCACTGGCAGCCACACAGAGTCCTCCAAAGAACAGGAGACCGACGCTCAGGAGGGGAAAGATGCTGGAGGCCCTCACAGCACCTGGAGGAGGAGCAGGAGACAAGGAGCTGAGTAGGGCTTGGGAGAGGGGGGCTGCTGCTGGCTGGGGGATCGGGACCTCTGCGGGCCAAAGACTGCCCCATGGTGACAGGAGCATCTGCGGAGGGGGCCAAAAAGTCAAGATGGCAGCCGTGACTGTGCAATCAAAGCCCTTACTCATTCTGCATGTGTCACGTGCACATGGAGGCTTCGATCGTGGCTACTGTCTTGACTGTTTTGGCCACTGCCCCTGCAGGTACCCCTGCAGGGCGAGGTCAGTCTGTTTGCTACTTCTTTCAGCAGGCCAAGCTAGCCACCTGAAAGGCTTGAGGCTCAGCACGTCCCATGCGCTAGATCCGAAAAAAAGGGTGTAGAAGACCCTCTATTTCGATCATCTGCTCTGTCAGAAATGTAGGAACTAAGGCAAACTTAAATAGTTATTTCATTGCCTTAAAATGAATATAGTGCCCAGAAAATATAGGGCCCCCATTTCAAAACAGGATTTGGGCACACCCCAAAGTGGCTATCTTTTCTCCCTAGATGGGGCCCTCTGTGTGGTTGCCCCACGTGTGGGTGAGACAGCCTTCCCTCAGTGGGGAGCCTCTGCAACTTCCCGGAAGCCCCGGACTTACGCAAGAGATATTCAGCGGCATCCTGTTCATAGTCAGCATCTTCTGGAAAATGGTTGATTTGCTTACAGATTCCTCGGAAGGTCCCTGGGGAAAAAGGGGAGGAAACGTGAGACTCTCAGAAGCACCAGGTTGCTGGCCCAGGCCATGCACGGCCATCCACCCCAGGCCTGTGAAGGGATGCGCATCTCAGGACCACACAGCCCCTCGGCATGGCTTCCACAGAAGGAGAATGCCGAGCCACCTTCCTTCCTTCTCGCCGTTCTACCACCTCTGCTTAGAGTTGAAGTCACGTTCTCGGTCATTCCTGCTTTTTAACCAAGACGGTGGAGCTCCCGGCCACGGCCAGCCCAGCACCTTCACGGTGAGCTCTCTGTACAAGGAGCACCACCTTGATGTTATCTTGCCTCATCGGCAGCCCCTGGGAGTTGTGGAGATTCACAATTCGCACCACCAGCAACTCCAGAAACAGAAAATGGGCCCACGTCCACCCCTGACTGTGGGCAATCCTCAAGAACCCTTGTCCAGAATTCATTCAGATGTTGATTCCCCATTCTGATTTCTCAACTCTTCTCCTGAAGCATCAATAATAGTTATTTTAAAAGAGTTCGACAAAATTAAACAGAAAGCCCCACTATGTGCTGCTTTGGGATAGTCACCACCCCTTCAATGGTTTTGAGAGAAGGCGGCGGAGGGGAGCGAAAAGGTCCTTCGTTTATTTATGCTACTTATAAGCTGCCCTCCTAATGAGCTTGAACTGCTTTAGCAGGCCATCACCATCAGGGGTGTCTGCAGGGTTGGTCAAAAAAGTCAAGATGGCAGCCACGACGGGGCAACACACACAAACCACAGACGGAGCGCTGATTGCACCATTGTGGCTGCCATCTTCTGCAGACACGCCTGATTTCCATCATCCTTGGTGTCATCTTCTACAAGGACTGTCGTCCGCACTTCCATCACCAGAACAATCATAAAGGCGCGTCTCTGCTATAAAAAATAAATAATAATCACCCAATAACAAGCCGCGCTGCTCCAACGGCAGTGCCAAATCCAGCTGAAAAGGCACATTTTTGGCCGTTTCTACAGAGGGAAATGAAGCATGAAGTAGGCCAAGCCGATGATTCAGAGGCTGTCAGCCCCAGAGGATCCCTGGGGGTGGGGCGGGGGCCGCGGGGGCAGCCCGAGCGGGGTGCTGCCTGTTTTGATGTAGCGGACCCTCCAGTGCCCCCCCCCCGGCCTGGGGGGACCGTTCCCTCCCCCCC